GTGCTCTTACAACTAGATCCATTCCCCCAGCCCTTATGACCTCTTTCTCAATAAAGGTAATGTGCATCCCTCCAATATGAAAGGTGAGATGCACACAGACACACACATGTGCATGCATGGACACACATACACATGCACACAAGCACATACTACTTACAGCCTAGTTCTGCATCTGATAAAACCACAGTCCTAAAATGTGATATCATCTTCATTCAGGTCTACATGAACGAACCAACAGACAACATGGGTATTTAGTGGTTAGAGCTTGAAGCACCAAGGGAAAGAATAAAAAACTACCAAGAAGCCTGGAAATAATTCATAGAACATGACGTCATCCAGTCCCCACTCCTTTTCTGGAAGTGCTGGGCTCACCATTTGTATTCATAGTTAAAAAGAAGTGTTTCATTCCTGGTGATGTGGGTTGTACAATGGGTCATCCACTGCCACTGAACCTCAGAGAAGACAAGAGACAATGCTTGTCCCAGCATTCACATGAAGGCTTTCCCGTGCCTCTCCACCTGTGGGTATCTGAAATATTTGTGACCAGAACTCTTCCAGATTTGGGGGGTTTTATTTTATTTTGGATTATTTGGATAGCTTAATGAGATATCTTAGGAATGGGACCCACATCTAAACACTGGAGTCAGTTATGTTTCCTATAAACCTTATCTACATAGCCCGAGGATAATTTTATACAATATGTTTAGTGCACCTGCATTTTCACTGTGACTTGTCACATGAGCTCAGGAGTAGAAATTTCCACTTGTAGCATTATGTCAATACTCAAAAAGTCTTGGATTTTGGAGTGCTATGGGTTTTATAATAGCAACCCATTAACTGGTTCTCCATGTGCCAGGCACCGGTCTAAGAGGCACAGGCTTCTCTTACCCCTGCATTGCCCATAAGAGAAAAGTTGAGAGACTCATACAGAGTCTTAGGTCTAGAAATATGCAAATCAGGGACATGAACCCAGGCAGCCTGGCACACGTGCCCACACTCTTAACCAAAACCATGTTGGTTGCTTCCCAGGGGACCTTGTCCATCAACGAATGGGTCAGATTCGGGGGAAAGAACTGATGAACAGTCTAGGATTCACACCAGCAAAATAGGTAACTGTTTACCTTCACAGTTCTGGGTCTTACCCGTGATGCACCTGTGCCTGGCAAAGGGACAGGTGTGTAACAACTTTGCAGTAGCAAGGAGGAGGTTGCATAATAAGGCTAGCTATTTTTGAACTTTGGAAAATGCTGACTGCTCTTTTCAAAGTGTCTTCTATAAAAGCAGGAATATTAAACATAAAGAAAATTTCCTGTTTTCCCCCCTGAAACCAACAGAGGCAGGAACAGGTCCATGGCAAGATCATGAAGAGGCTGGCTGTCCTTGATAAGGAGCCCCCTGGTACCACACCCAGCACCATGAGCAATGAATCATTGCTACAATATTCTAACTGCATGAGCTCTGGGTATGCAACCATAAGCTGTGTCTTGAGGTCACCAAGCAACATGTCTGGCTAGCCCCAAGATTTTCTCAACCAGTCAAAACTAGACCCCAAATTCCCTCCATAACTCATCCTGAGATCATCATTGAGCACTCATCTAAAGCCACTTGCATCCTCCCTACTATGCATGGGAAGTCATAAGAGTTATTTGTTTAGCAGGTGCTTTGCAAAGTAAGACTTGTTATCTAGTGGAAATGTATTTTTTGATGCTTGAAGTGAGAAACCCCTGACTCAAGACTCCTGGGATCCCACTGGCCAAAGTGATGAAACCAATTCAACTTCATATCCTTACCCAAATGTTCTTTTCTCTCACCAACCTAAACATTATCAAAGGAGGATGGGCAGAGAAAAGATGGAACACACACACCACACAATACAAAACAGCACTGAGATAAATATGCTGGAATTATAATATACCATGTTATAATTATATTATCTTCACAGTGATCTTGCAAACACAAGGTTGAGATAAGAGGAAATTTCACTGCATTAAATGTCATTAGGGGACATTTACAAGATACTATAGATCAGGTGTGTGGTTTCATATGCATCTCTATCACAGGTTCAAAACCATGTACATGTATTTCAACATGGGCCAAATTCATTGTAGTGTTTTTTTCCTTCCACAGAGAGAAAGGAATTAAAGTAGGACCAGGGCTGTGCTCAGAACTTCTATATTATCACTAACATTTTTTTTTTAATGTCGAAGACAATGTGACATGTCAACCTTTATTCTCTGTGGTGAGTATCGGGTTGGGTATTTTGTCAGATTCTGCACTACTCTCTTTTTCAATATTAAAAATAGAAATCTTATAACCTGAGTTTGTCTTTAGAAAATTTTTTCCATCTTCATCAGATTGTATGGTCTCTGAGGACAGAGTTTATGTCTTAATTCGTCTGTGTATTCCAGGGAATAGCACAGTATCTGTTGGGTGGTCTGAATGCTAGATGGAAGATAGAAAGGTGTAGCACCCTGAACTCTTTTTAACTGCTTTCTTTGGGTTTTCTCCAGCTACCTGGAAGTGTTCCACTCTTTCCTGGGTGGGTGTGAGGAGCACTGTGGGGGAGGAGTTGTCAAGGAGAGCTTGCTTGAGCCACCATCCAGTTTCATGCCCTGAGTGAGCACCACCAACCCTCCGTGGATAGAGGGATATTGCATTTGACACCAAGCACTGAATGACAACTTACCATACTTGAACCTTTGCTGCTCTGGGGCTGAAATGCCATTTACAGAACGGTTGCAAATGGCACAGCAGCACTTTCCAGCCATGGGATTTTTTTCCTAAAGAATAGAATTCAGGGTGGTCCCTGGAAAGGGATTTGAATGTCTTGCCAACATTCCTCTCACATTCTTTTCCCTATATATATTGCATTTCAATTACCCTACAATCAAGTTATGTTTCCATCAAAATTAAACATTTCTGAATCTTCCAGCTGCAGACACATCTTCTTAAGGGGAATATGAATTCATTAGCCCAGTCCTTGCCTTTGGGCTGGCAGCAAGCCTGCCTCTATAAGAGGTTCCCATGTCTTATACTAAATTATCTGACTTCCTTCCTGATATTGGACATTTATTTAGAATGCTGAAAGTGGCAGTGTGGAAACAGGATCACTAAAGAGGGGACAGGAGAGGAGAAGGGAAAATGTCAAAGGAGCATGCCTTCTTAATTCAAGAGTTCATTTTTTTTAGGTGTATGTTAATTGTAAAGAAACATATTCTACTCCAACACACACACACACACACACACACACACACAGACCCAGTTCAGAGGTAACCTCTGAAAGGTAGCAGATTCAAAGTCTTAGAATCTTCCAGAGATGTTTTAGAATGATATAGTTCTCCACAGACAATCAATCAATATGAACTGTTGATTAATTTCTCATGACCTTAAACTTCACTGATCACTCTGAAAGTTATTAAGTAATTACCAGTTGGCAGGCACTGTGCTAAGCAGCACCTATGCATCTCTTCACTTGTCATGACAGCGCCTAGAATATGGTCCTCAAAGCAACCAGTAATGCCCAGGCCAGAAATATCAACACCACCCAGGAACTTGCTAGAATTGGAAAATCCTACTACTACTCTAGAAACTCTGTGTCTAGCCATTTGTCTTAACAAGCCCTCCCTGAGATTATCATGCATGCTAAAGTTTGAGAATGAACACCTAAAAATTATGGGCTGTTATCAACACTTTGAAATAAATGCCTGAGGCCCAGAAAGGTAAGGTGATTGTTCAAGTACTATAGAAAGCGGATGAGACAAGATTTGAATCTGGACAAGTTCAACTCCAGAGCCCAGTTCTTCATCCCAGTGCCACACTGCTCATTATCTAAAGAATGAAGCACTGATCAACTCAGTGAACATCAAGCAAAAAGCATGCAAAACGGGCGCCTGACTTATTATTCTAAATCACAGCGGCTGAGTCATAATGACAGGCCACAGGGAACAACCACACTTCCCAGAAACAGAAAGTTTAGCTTAAATGTACACCATGGTGGCAGTAGTTAAATAAATTATGATACATTCATATGATAGAATGTAATGTGACTTTAAAAGTGATGATTGCCAAGATTTCCTATGACCTACAAAAATACTTAGATTATAAGAGAAGAAATTCAGACACAAAGTCAGAGACCAAAAGCACCAATGTAGGCAGTTTTCCCAGCGCAGACCATGCTGCCGAAGATGTGGGAACCCGGATGATTTCACAAACTGTTGGTGTGAATGTAAATCGATACAGTTATTTTGCAGCACAGTTTGGTGATAGATATTTAAATTTAAAAATGCGTATGCCTTATGACCCCAGAATCACACTTCTTAGAATCAACCCTAGAAAAAAATCTTCATACATGTGCATAAAGAGATGTGTGATGATTGTCACTGCAGTGTCACTTCTGATGCCCTGATAAAGGACAACTGATTTCCTGTCATTATGCAGAGTGAATAAATAAATCATATTTTACCCACACTGAAGAATGTGACATGAACATTTCAAGGAATTTATATATGCTTGAGTTAAGGTAGATGATGATTATGGTGACGATAGCTAGATGGATAGATAGATGGATAGACAGACAGATAGATAAAAAAGGATGGATGGATTAGATAGATGAATAGATAGAGATGGATGGATGGATGGATTAGCTAGATAGGGATGGATGAATGGATGGATGGATTGGATAGATAGGTAGACAGATGGATGGATGGGTAGGTGGGTGGGTGGATGGATAGATGGATGGACAGATAGACAGAGAGTTCCCAAGTGAGGGTTTCCCAAGATATGTTGTTAAGTAAAAGTTGCACAAAACAATCAAAATGTGATGTTACCTTTTAAAAAGTAAGATTAGAAAGCAGGAAAAGGGAAAGGGGGGCAAAATCAAACAAAATCAAAATCATGGAAGTACATGCACAAAATTTTCTACTTGCACCAATAATGTGTAAACAGTAACAACAACAAAACTCTGATCCCACTTTGGGACACAAGCAAAGAGCCCTTCTTACTGGTGCAAAGTGTGGAGCGGGGCCTCCGGCTTCTCCGTCTGCCCATAGCAGCTGGCCTTGGCCTCAGGGATGTAGGAGAACTTGTCCAACATGGAAGATGCAGCAGTGGTTAGGATGCCAAGACCGTCCCTCACTCTTGCTTCCAGGCTGTAGTCCCAGTCATCATAGGAGACTGAGATAAGTCCTGAGGGAAACTCTTTGGGGATGAGCTCTGTATTCCCAGAGACCAAGCTGGGAACAATCCAGAAGAAATCATACCCAGTGAGGCCAAGGGAGCGAGCCTCACTGAGGATGAGGACAGCCTCGTCTTTGGAGCAGTAGAGCAGGATGACAGAAGAGTGAATCTTCTTCAGCTGGACTTGTGTCTTTGCATCCTCAAAGGAAGTGTCTAATGTAATCACGTTCTGTATGTCCCATCCCACAAAGCTGTTGTCCACTGTGGTCTTGATGAAGCTGATGAAGTCCCTGTAGCCAGGAAAGATGGTGGTCACCAAGGAGAAGACATGCCAGTCGTAATCCTGCATGATCTTCAGCATGACCGTGGCTTGTTGCTGGATGGACGCTCCAAACTGGAAAAAGGTAGACGTCGGATCCTGTCAATAGGTAAAAAGAAAGCAGAACAGAGAATGAGGCAGAAAGTAGTTTATATGGAGCTATTTGTCTTTATGGGCTTCTTCCTAGAAGTAAGAGGAAAACAAGGCACGTACTCATTCCTGAGCACCTACTGTATGCCAGCCTCTGGAACAGATACTGAAAATGCAGAGATGAAAGAATTCCCTGGGATCAGGGTCCATAGCCCATACAGGGAATTTGTCTGTTATTTTCACTCTCTCATCATCTCCTCTCCTCATTTTCTTCTAGATCCCCCATCCTTTGAGTCCACATGGTTCCAATAGAACAAATCCATCTGGCCCCCAGGCTCGGGATGGGAAAATGAAGCCAACAGAGACAACACAGCCATCAGTAAATGGAGATGGATTACCAAGGATGTATTTGGAGTCCCTGGAGTCTCCCATTTACCCTGGACTGCTTACTGAGCCAACAAACCCCCATGTTCACACAAGCCAATGTGAGTAGAGTTTCTGTAACTTACACTTAAGAATCCTGTGTAACATATACTGCAATAAATGCTATGTGAATATCCATCTGTTCAATCAACAAACATTTGTTGAACACCTTACTATGTGCCAACACCGCTTTGGGAAATCATGGACAGACACAGACATGGTCTCTGCTTTCATGGATCTGATGGAAACTTAAACTGTAGACTGAGATAACTGTAGGAATCTTGAAGTATTCAGGTGAGGAATAGAGGAAGTAGATAATTAGAAGAGCCACAAGGGATGGTTTAACCATTTTAGGAACTATAGATAAAGGATTTCTGGCTCATGAAGTAGAGAGGATGAAATGAAGCTGAAGAGCTTGGCAGGACTCCATGATGTAGGGCCAGTCTGTGACCACACTTACACTCAAAGTGACACAGGCTTAAGGGGCTTCTCTCTGTCTTGACATCTCCACAAACTTACCATCATAAGAACAAATTTCAATTTAGAACAATGGATGATGATATAGTTGCACAATTTCCAAACCACCTTCACACCCTTTGCCTTGTCAAATCTCCACAATGATCCCATAATATGAAGTCAGTATTATTGGCAGAGAGAATGAGGCCCAAAATGGTTACATAGCAAGTAAGTATCTGAACATAGAACCTCAGATCCCACATCTGGTCCCCTTCCCCATACACTGCCACAGCCTTCTTGGGATCATTTAATATCAGTAGATAGCGGATGCATAAACCATCTAGTCGACTGCTGGCCTGATGCAAAAATGTCAACTGAACAGAAGCTATGCCTCTGTATTACAGCAAAGCAGGATTTGACCAACGCCTAAGGTATGTCTCAAAGGGTCTTCATCATATTATAGCCAGGCTTTCATCTTGCAGTCTCTATTTACCATGTGCATTTAACACTGCCTCAATTCAGTAGTATAATTTAAGGGGATTCCATTCCAACTCTCTCTCTCTCTCTCTCTCTCTCTCTCTTTCTCTCTCTCTATGTGTATGTGTGTGTGTGTGTGTGTGCGTGTGTGTGTGTGTATGCTCTAAGTGTGAATGATTCCATTCATGTCTTTCAGAACAATACTTTGTAGCTCTGCATTCAATTCTTTCAACAAGTCTACTTCCTTCTCCCTGTAGGTGCTCACTGAAAGTTTTATCTGAATGGGCCAAAAGCTATCATTCTTTAAAATACTGCTTTTCTGAAATGCATGGGTTTGGAGGATAATTTGAATGCAGCATGGCCTGAAGGCAGACTGAAGAAACGGGAATAAATAAATGGCTTCTGGGTACCTTCCAACATTATAGTCCTATGGATTTTACCTAATTAAATAAATTAAATGGGTAACAGATTTAAAGACTTTGGATAATTATTTTTCCCCTACAGTAGCTTTTGGAGAAATCCAATATTCTTGAATTGATTAATCATTTAAAAACACATCTCAATAAGACTGTGAGCCCCTCAAGGGCAGAGATCTTCTTGTCCCCATTTCTAAGTCCCAGAACCTGGTAGAAGGCTCGGCCCATCACGTCAATAAGTGAGTGATGAGGGATGCATGAGTGAGTGAGTGTGTGAGCAAAAGCCTAAGAGGAATGTCCTTGACTTAAACCAAATGCGAAAGAGGGAGAATTCAGTATTGGAGATTGTATTCCGTATAGCTCTTGAATGTCACGTCCAAAACAAAACAAAACATTCAATATCATCACCTACACCTATTCACCCTGAGAAACCATTACTCCATCCAAAGTCCAAATATATTTTAATGTGTTCTTTATTGGTAAGGAGAGGAATACAGAAGACCTATATGCCCCAGCAGTTGTCCACAGAACCTTATTACATAACAAACAAACAAACAAAGGCTATAATACATCAAGCCCATCCACAAAGACAGCACAGAAGTAAAGCCTAAGGACTGTTATAGTTGTCAGCCTCACACAATGTCAGGTGTCTCTTGAGGTGGGAATGCAGTGTTCCAAACTGAATTACAAAGAAATGTATTGACTTCAGGGATGCTACCTTCCAGAGCTGCAGAAGGCAAAGGTTTAGCATCGTCCTGTACTGAGTACACGGATCACTGGCATTTGTGACACGCTAGATGTGGGTGGAGTTTGGGATCCTCTATGTCCCTCACTTCCTGGACTGTAAGTTGGGCATCCCAGTGTACCACAAGATACTTCACACATGGAGTGGAGCTGTAAGCAGTTGCAGTCTTGTCTGACTCTCCATGTATGAAGGAAGGTGTGACCAGACAGTGACTTCATGAAGGAGAAACACAGGGACAGCAGTTCATTAGTCCAGAGCCAGCTTGGCCCAGGCCATCTGTGAGACAGTATGTGCAAAGCCCTGGCCCTGTGCCACTCACACTCTCCCGACCTGCACTACTCTAGCATAAGCTGAATGTCTCTTGTTGTCTCTTACCTGACCCTCTGTTAGGGTTTGGATCTTAACTGTCCTCCGAAAACTCACGTGTTGAAGGATTGGATCCCAACGCAGCAGTGACCAGAGGTGATTGGATAATGAGTTCTCTGACTTTATGAGGAGGTTAAGCCATTCATGGATTCACAGGTTAATGGGCTATTGGGATATGGTGAAAACTGTGAAAGGAGGGACCTGTTAGAGGAAGCAAATCACTACGTGTGCCCATGTAGGATATTTGTTGTCTCTAGCCCCTTCCTTTCTCTCTCTTTTTGCTTCCTGGCCGCCATGAGGTGAGCTGCTTTGCTCCACCAAGCACTCCCTGCCATGATATTCTGCCTCACAACAGGCCCAGAAACAAAGGAGCCAAATGATCAGTTCTTAAACTGTAAGCCAAAATTAGCCTTTCTTCTTTTAAGTTGATTTCTCTCAGGTATTTTGTTACAGCAACAGAAAACCGATCATCAACACACCCTCGTTAACGACCTCTCCACAAGACAGATCACAGGATGCATTCCAGTCTTAATTGTGTGGCCTTGTGAAAAGCTGGTCAACCTTTTCAAGCCTTAATTTCTTCATTTGTAAAACAGGTGCAGGTATAGTAATGATCTCCATAGTTAATATGCAGAAGTACTTACTGGATGAGTCAGATTGCTCACAACTGTATTGGCACCATCTAATCTAATGCCACTCAACACTTTACTAAGCTTGCCCTAGAGTTTTGCCCCACTTACAGATGGAGAGATGGACTCAGAGGTACAGTGACTCTTCCTGGGTCACACAGGTGGTGAATCAGGTGTGTCTGCTTGTGAGATCCCAAGTGTGTCACTCCTGCGTTATATTGATGCGACGATGACACTTCCTCTTGGAGCTGACCAGTTAAGTGATCTTCCCATGTCAAACCATCCATGCAGTGTTGGGCACATATATCAAGTACTCAGCAAATATAGGCATGGTTATTTCCCCGATGGGTCAGAACCCCTTTCTATCTCATATCAGAAGACTGCTACCCACACCCAAAGGACTCTGGATTTGGAGCATCTCAACAATTCACCCTATTCATGGATGCCTGATTGAAATCCCCATGCCACTCCCCTGTTCTCCAGTCACCTATGGCTCCCAAGGCCTTCCACATTAGGTTTAGACTTGCCAGTCATGCACCATTTGAGCCTTGTGGTTGAAATACCACAGGCTCTGGGGGTCTCTCAGACCCGAGTTCAAGCACTGACTCTGCTAACTAGCCATGTGTGACACTGGGTAAGCACTTCACCTTTCTGAGTCTGAGTTTCTTCACGTATGGAATGGGCATAGTGACTACCAGGGCATGAGGTTGCCATGAGAACAGGGTGAGCTGACAAAGATCAGAGGCTCATCTTGCCATGCCTGACTCCAGCAGTTTGGCTCCTCCTCTCCATATCCTCTCCTACAGACTGAATGGACATGGCCAGAACCCTAAAGGGTCCTCATCCTGTTTTAAAGCTGGTATCCTCAGATCCACAGACATCCCCACCACCCATGTATTCCCAGTCCAGAAGCCTGTGTGAAAAGAAGGAACTATCTATCCCCATTATAATCATCCCATGCTTTGGGGAGAAACCATCACTATCATCCTTCGTGGGCCTCACACGCTATTCTGCGCCACTCTCATTTCTATTGGCATCTGAAACTTCACCTTCAAAAACCCTATGGACCAAAGGCATTGTATATGTTCTTCCTTCTCAGAGGGATGGAAATGAGAAGTTGTTGCAAAACGTAATTGCACTGTGAGGCTCTGTCATATTTAGCTTTAGGTGATTTGGGGACTGGCAAGAGGTGATGGGGAATTTTGGCCACATTCCCAGGTCCTGGCAGCAGATAAGCCAAATGGTCCTGTCTTCTAAGCTTCTGCACATCCTTCCCACTTCCTGCCTTGGTGGTAGAGGCGGTCCCTCTGCGCTTACCTCCTCCTGCCATTGCCTGCACTGTGGGGATTTGGCAGATCAGTCTCTGACCACCTCTGGCACTCAGCTTCCTTAGAATGTGCAGCCGGGGAGAAGAACAGATTTCATACACCCACTTTGGTTCTGAAGCAAAAAACAGTTCTCTCCCCATGCTCACTGCTCTGCAGAAGACAGAACAAA